CAGTCGCCCAACCAACTGAGCCACCCAGGCACCCTGCCTTTTAGTTTTGTTAGCTGTTTCCTTTGCTGTGCAGAAGCTTTTTATTTTGATGAAGTCCTAGTTCATTTTTGCTTTTGTTTCCCTTGTCTCCAGCGATGTGTCTAGTAATAAGTTGTTGGGGCTGAGGTCACAAAGGTTGCTGCCTGTGTTCTCCTCTAGGATTTTGATGGCTTCCTGTCTCATATTTAGGTTTTTCATCCATTTTGAATTTATTTTTGCTTATGGTTTAAGAAAGTAGTCCAGTTTCGGGGCACCTGGGTGGCTCAGTTGTTAAGTGTCTGCCTTCAGCTCGGGTCATGATCCCAGGTTCCTGGGATTGAGCCCCGCATCGGGTTCCCTGCTCTGCGAGAGGCCTGCTTCTCCCTCTCCCACTCCCCCTGCTTGTGTTCCCTCTCTCACTGTGTCTCTCTCTGTAAAATAAATAAATAAAATCTTAAAAAAAAAAAAGTAGTCCCGTTTCATTCTTCTGCATGTGGCTGTCCAGTTTTCTCAACACCATTTGTTGAAGAGACTGTCTTTTTTCCGTTGGATATTCTTTCCTGTTTTGTTGAAGATTAGTTGACCATATAGTTGTGGGTCCAAATCTGGGTTCTTTGTTCTGTTTCATTATTCGATGTGTCTGTTTCTGTGCCAGTACCATACTACCCTGATGATTACAGTTTTGTAATACAGCTTGAAGTCTGGGACTGTGATGCCTCCCACTTTGGTTTTCTTTTTCAGGATTGTTTTGGCTATTTGGGTCCTTTCTGGTTCCATACAAATTTTAGAATTCTTTTTCTAGGCCCATGAAAAATACTGGTGTTATTTTGATAGGGATTGCATTGTGAATGTGTAGATTGCTTTGAGTAGTATAGACATTTTAACAATATTCTTCTGATCCATGAGCATGGAATGTTTGTGTTGTCTTCAGTTTCTTTCACCAGTGTTCTATAGTTTTCAGAGTACAGATCCGTTATCTCTTTGGTTAGGTTTATTCCTAGGTATCTTATGGTTTTGGGTGCAGTTGTAAATGGGATCGATTCCTTCATTTCTCTTTCTGCTGCTTCATTATCAGTGAATAGAAATGCAACAGATTTCTGTGCATTGATTTTATATTCTGCAACTTTGCTGAATTCATGTATGGTAGCAGTTTTGGGGTGGAGTCTTTTGGGTTTTCTATATAAAGTGTCAGGTCATCTGGGAAGAGTGAAAGTTAGACTTTTTCCTTGCTGACTTGGATGCCTTTTATTTCTTTTTGTTGTCTGATTGCTGAGGCTAGGACTTCAGTACTGTGTTGAACAATAATGGTAAGAGTGAGCATCCCTGTCATATTCCTGACATTAGGGGAAAAGCTCTCAGTTTTTCCCTATTGAGGATATTTGCTGTGGGTCTTTTGTATATGGCCTTTATGATGTTGAGGTATGTTCCTTCTATCCCTTCTTTCTTGAGGCCCTTTATCAAGAAAGGATGCTGTATTTTGTCAAATGCTTTCTGCATCTATTGAGAGGATCATATGGTTCTTATCCTTTCTTTTATTAAATGTGATATATCATGTTGATTGTTTTGCGGATATTGAATCACCCTGCAGCCCAGGAATAAATCCCATTTGATTGTGGTGAAAAATCCCTTTAATGTACCATTGGATTCAGTTAGCTAGTGAACCTATCTGTTTTTAATTTTGGTTACTGTATTTTGAGTTATAAAATTTCCATTTGGTTCTCTATATTTTCTTTGGTAAGACTTTCTATTTCTTTGAATTTTCTATTTTACATTTTTTAAAAAATGAATAATTATAAATTTTATCATGGCTGCTTTAAAATCTTTGTCAGATAATTCTAACATCTTTGTGCCATTGGTGTTGGCAGTTACTGATTTTCGTTCAGTTTGAGATCTTCCAGGTTTTTGTGTGATTAGTGATTTTTTATCGAAAACTGGACATTTTGATATTATAAGGCTCTGGGTATCTTTTTTATCTGGCTTTCTTTTGACATTGCTCTTGCAGAGGAAATACAGCATGGCTCTCTTTATTGCCTAGTTAAATAGAAGTCCAGGTTCCCCACCAGACTTCTATTGCTGTCTGGGGGAGGTGGGGGAGTTCTGGTTCCCCACTAGGCCTCCACTGATATCTCCCTAACTGAGAGGGATGGGAGTGCCTCATTACCCCTCACATTGCATTCATGGACACCTTGTTACTGCCTGGTTGAGGGTAGAAGTGTAGGCTGTCCTTGGAATTTTGCTCATCTAGGTGGATGTTGGACCACAGATCTTTCTATGGTGTTTGGTTGGATTGTGGTTTTGTCTAAAAGTTTTTTGTCTTGGGGCACCTCAGTGGCTCAGTTGGTTAAGTATCTGACTCTTGACTTCAGATCAGGTCATGACTTCAGCATTGTGAGATCGAGCCCCACATCAGGCTCTGCGCTAGGCATGAAGCCAGCTTAAGATTCTCTTTTTCCCTCTGCCCCCCACCAAAACTAAGATTAAAAAATGGAAGTTTTTTGTCTTGCAAGGCTGCTCTTTTCTTAGACTTTTGGCTAGAGAGAGCAGACTTCTGTTGGGGCTTTTTTGTCTGTAGTTTCCAGGTTGCCAGCCTTTTCAGCTTCAAGCCTGAGGCATCAGGAAACTTCTAGAATTTCTAGTATTTTCTCCTATTTTTATACCATGGTTTTAAAAAACATACATATTATCTTTTCCTAATGATATTAAAAACTTATTTAAATTTTTTTTTATTTGAGTATAGTTGACACACAGTGTTAAATTAGTTTCAAGTATACAACATACTGATTCAACTTTTCTATACTTAGGCTTTGCCCATTACAAGTGTAGGTACCAAATGTCACCATATAGCACTATTATAATATCATTGACTATATTCCCTGTGCTGTGCCTTTATTCCTGTGACTTATTCCTTCCATGATGGGAAGCTTGTATCTCCCTCTCCCCTTCACCCATCTTGCCCTTCTTCTCACCCCCCTTCCCTCTGGCAACCATCACTTTGTTCTTTGTATTTAAAGGTTGATTCCACTTTTTGTTTGTTTATTCATTTTTTTTTTTTTAGATTCCATATATGAATGAAATCATATGGTATTTATCTTTCTCAGTCTGATGTATTTCACTTAACATAATATCCTCTAGGTCCATCCATGTTGTCAAAAATGGCAAAATCTCATCTGTTTTTTTGGCTGCATAATAGTCCACTGTGTATGTATGTGTGTGTGTACACACACACACACACACCCCACACACCTTATCCAGTCACCTGTTGATGAACATTTAGATTGCTTCCATATCATGGTTATTGTAAATAATGCTGCAATAAACATAGGAGTGTATATATCTTTTTAAATTAATGTTTTTGTTTTCTTTGAGTAAATAACTAATAGTGGAATTACTGGATTGTATTGTATTTCTTTTTTAATTTTTTGAGAAACCTCCATACTGTTTTCCACAATGGCTATACCAGTTTACATTCCTACCAATAATGTATGAGGCTTCCTTTTTCAGATTTAAGGTTTATAGACCGTATATTTAAATTAGATTGCATTTGTTATGCCACTCACCACCCAATCACTGTGCCTTTTGATCCCCATAAAATCTCAATATATCTCTCTAATTTTATTTTTTTAATTATTTTTTTAGAGAGTGGGGGAGGGGCAGAGGGTGAGAGAGAATCTCAAGCAGGCTCAACACCCAGAGTGGAGCCCGACGCAGGGCTTGATCTCATAACCCTGAGATCATGACCTGAGCTGAGATCAAGAGTTGGACACTTAACTGACTGAGCCACCCAGGCACCCATATCTCTCTAATTTTAATATGCTGAAATTCTAAAGCAAATTACTTGTTACCCATATTTAAGTTACTTCTAAGTCTGGCTCATGCACTCTCATCTGTAGCAGTGTAAAATGGTTTTCCTTTATTTGGTTCTTAAAATATATGTGGAATATCATAAAAGCTTATATTATTTTAGAAATATTTACATGTCAGTATTTCTGTTTTGCCCATTGTCTTGTTTTAGTTTATGGTACATGGCCTACTGATTTCTCATCGTTGGAACAAACTATGTTAATTGGATTGAAATTTCTCAGCCTCAGCACTACTATTAAATTTAATCCGCATTATTTTCTCTACTGATTTCTTAAATCTAGACCTGTGCTGTCCAATATGGCAGCCACTGGACAGTTTGGCTGTTGAACACTTGAAATGTGGCTGGTTTGAATTGAGATGTGCTTTAAGTGTCAAATACACACTAGAATTTGAAGTTAGTATGAAAAAAAGAATCTTTTTCCATGAGAATTATCCATGATTCTAAATTTTTTTTTTAAGATTTTATTTGAGAGAGAGAGCACAAGCAGGGAGAAGGGAAGAGGGAGAGGGAGGAGCAGGGAGCCCAATGCGGGGCTCGATCTCAGGACTCTGGAATCATGACCTGAGCAGAAGGCAGATGCTTAACCAGCTGAGCCACCCAGGCGCTCCAGAATTATCCATGAATCTAACCCAGTATTTTATTCTTCTGCAATTGTTAAAAGTTATTAAAATCACTGTGATGGTTATGATCATAGTAAGCTGTAAAGCAGTGAGGCCCTAGATAATCACTTTATAAGCTAACACTGTAAGATACACCCAAGAAACCATTTGTCAATAATGGTGAAGGAGTGAAGAACCTATGGTGTCTACTTTTCTGTTCCTTTGATTTCTCTGTGCCAGAAACATATCATGATCTGATGTTCTTAAACATTTTCAGATTGAATCTTGTCTCAGTTCTCCTAATTTTTTCTTAGTAGACTGCTCATTTCTTTTAGAAAAAGTCATAAATAATTTTAAAAAGTTGATTATAAAATTACTTCTTTTTAATTTTGCATATTTCTAACCCATTTTTTAATTAGAAAAAAATTGACTTATTTTTAGTTTCTGTATTTGATTGTAGTATTTGAAATATATCATGGACATAAATAAATATACTAAGATGGTACATATTTTTTTAACAGCATTCAACCATGACATCAACATTGAGGAGATTGGGTGAAGACATATTCAAAGGAGTAGTAACAAAGGGAATTCAAGATAATTCTTTAGAACATTCAGTGGACAATAAACCAAAGACAGCTGCTTTCTTTAAGAGCTCCAATTTACCACTGAGATTTTTATCAACTTTAATTGTTCTCAAAACAGTCACTCAAGGTAAGCTTTTACTTGTGCGTATGGCATAATTTTTCATAAACAGAAGAGACTACTATAATGTGAAGTAATTCTTGCATAGTGAAATATGTTTTCCATTTTAGAATGAGATCTTATAATGGTGACACATTACAATAAACTACTTTTATTTGCTGAATGTGAGAAAGTGGAGTAGTCCGTTGGATTGTTGTCTCCTCCCAGAAGGCTTTATTGATTCCTTAGATCATGTTCCCACAATAACCTGTGCTTCCCACTATCATTGCATTTACCATATAGTGTTGAAATTCCTAATTCGTTAATTTTTACTGGAGCAGATGTTGGCAACCTGTAGCCCATTGACCAGATCTGGCCCACCACCTGTTTTGTAAATAAAGTTTTATTTAAACACTTGCATGCTCCTATTTTACCTGTTGTCTAATAACTGTTTTTGCCTTACAACAGAGCTGAGTAGTTGGCAACAGAGACTATATGGCCTCCTAGAAGCGTATATTATGATGTGGCCCTTTACAGAAAAATTTTATCAGTCCCTACACTAGTTTGTAAGTTGACTGAAGAAAAATATTGCCTTCTTTACTGTTGTATCCCCCTGCAACTAGCATAGTGTTTAACATTTATAATAGTGAATAAGGAAATGAATGAATTAAAAATGTTTCAGTCAAAGTTGACCGTTTTTAATACAGTTTTGATATACAGCTACAACGAGTTATGTTTTTGGATCACTAAATAGAATTTTTGTTAAAGTCGTACCAAAACAGTGAAACATTAAATATGCCATCTTTTTATCTTTCCTGTTTGTTAAATTATATAACTCAGTGTGGTTGAATTTTTTTTAGTGGGAAATGGCAATAATTTAATTTTACCACTTTCTCTGAAGTGTGTACTGTTTAGTTACACCTGATTATGGAATTTTACAACAACAATAACAAAAAACGAAACTATAACTTGCCTTCTTAGTTTTTTCCTTATGTTTATCGTTCTCATAGTTAAACAGATTGAGTGATAACTGTTTGAAACATCATTTATGAGAAGGGTATATTAGTCCAAAATAAAGTTCACCGCATATCAACATGCATTATAACATCATTTGATAAAATATAATATGCATTACTGATAAAACTAATGCAATAGAGAAATAAAACAAAAGATAGAATTAGGTGCTTTCTCTCACCATTCTGTGCAGTATAGTATTGGACATGCTGACCATTTTCAATGAGCCCTTAAAAAAAAAAGAAAGATGAATATTGGAAAGGAAACTATTCATTCGTGGATACTCTATAAATTGAGGACATTCAATGAAACTAGCTAAGAAATTTATTGAATATAATGTGCTGTGTTCTGAATATTTGTGACCCCACAAGATTCATGTGGTAAAATGCTAACCCCTAGAGATGATGGTATTAGTAGTTGGGGCCTTTAGGAGGTGCTTAGTGAGTGTGGAGCCCTCATAAATGGGATTAGTGCCCTTATAAAAGAATCTCCACTGAGGTCTCTAGCCGTTACACCTTGTGAGGACACAGTGAGAATGAAGGTTCAGGTTGTGAACCTTCACCATACTGGGGACTATACTGGCAACTTTGTCTTCAACTTCTCCACCTCCAGAACTGTGAGCAGTAAAATTCCTGTTGTGTATAAACTACACAGTCTCTGGCATTTGTTATAGCAGTCTGATAGAATTCGTGTTTCAGAAAATGAGCTTCAGAGGAAATTCACAAAGTCTGTTGACTTTCAATACTATCATTACTATCTATGACTATCTATGGCTGTACAGTATGACTACTATGAATATCACTAACAAACAGCAATAACATATAAAAAAGAAATCTTGCTAATAGAAAAAACCAAAAAGTATAAAATTTAGATATAAATCTAATTTGGTGTTTGTAAACTTCATCCTTTGTGAAATATAATAAAGATATGGGGGGGGCACCTGGATGGCTCGGTCCGTTGAGCGTCTGCCTCTTGGTTTTCACTTAGGTTATGATCCCAGGGTTGTGGCATCAAGCCCTGAATCAGGCTCCGAGCTCAGGGGAGAGTCTGCTTAACAGTCTCCCTCTCCCTCTGCCCCTCCCCCCACTTGCATGCCCACTTGCATGCCTATGCATACTCTCTCTAAAAATAAATCTTTAAAAAAGGATATGGGTAAGTAATAGATGAGTGGACAGGATAATAAAGATTATTGCTGGGTGCCTGGATGGCTCAGTTGGTTAAGCATCTGCCTTCGGCTCAGGTCACGATCCCAGGATCTTGGGATTGAGACCCACATTGGGCTCCCTGCCAGCGGTGAGCCTGCTTCTCGCTCTGCCCCTCCCCCTGCCCCTGCTTATGTTCTCTGTCTCTCGATCTCTCTCTCTCAAATGAATAAATAAAAAAATTTTAAAAAAGATTATTGCTGACATTAAATGGCAGAAATAAAGGACTTTTTCTTTTAGAGTGGGGGAGGGGCAGAGGGAGAGAGAGAATCTCATGCAAGGCTTGATCTCACAACCCTGAGATCATGACCTGAGCCAAAATCAAGAGTAAGATGCTTAACCAACTAAGCTACCCAGGCATCCCAGAAATAAAGGACTTTTATTCTTCCTAACAAATATATTAAAAATTATAAGATACTCCAAGTCGCTTCATGTAAAAATACCAATGAAAATTCAAGTATAGTGTAAGTAAGTTGAGAAAGTGGTAGGAAAGTTTGAAATAATACTTGCAATGAATGTAATAACTTAAAACAAGTAAAACAGCAACATGGGTAGTGGCTTGCCTTAGCAGATTTTAAAGCAACTGTATAGAGTCAAAGAAGAAGGCAAATTAGAAAGATCCTGAGCTCACCTCCTCCCATGGATACAGCAAATATATGCAACTACATATAGAGCAACTCTTTGTTCAGTTGACCTGAAGACTAGGAGAACAGCTGTTCCAGCTAAAGATACAAGGAAAAAGCCACATCAAGAAGGGTAGGAAGGGAAGAGACATGGTCTGGTTAGGAACCTGACACGTGGTGTGGTAATCGAGAATCAGGAAGGACATCACAGGTGAAGAGACCTGCCTGAGGAGTGAGGAGTTCAAACCCTACATTTTTCACCCCCACCCCAAAAATCTGCACTGGGAAGAGAAGCCCACATAATGTCTGGATTTGAAAAATAGCAGGCCATAACTCTGGGAGGTCTAGAGGGAAATGGAGACTCTCCTCTTAAAGGCCTCATGCACAGTCTCACTCAGACAGCACAAGGCAGCTCTTTGAAAGGCATCTGGGCCATAAGTGAAGGAGATTTATTGACTAATTTTAGGGCATGTGCTGGAGGGTAGGGATCTGTAGGAACTTTCTGTAGGAACAGAGTGCTGGCAGGTGCAATTTTTCTTGCCCTCCTTCAGCCTAGCTGGCATGATGCTGCCATGCCAGTTGACACTCTCCATCTATCTTGATGGCACCGCTTTCCCTGTACCAGTATTCCCCTGTGGACATTCCCTCCCAAAGTACTTGCCCTGGCAGACACATTTCTAAAGCACCTCCCGCTGTCCACCATGCCTGCAACAGTCAAAGATAGGCATCAGCAGCCATTTCACACTGGTGTTTGACCCCCACCAACCAGCCCAGCTGCAGCAGTTGCAGCTGGGCCTCTTATCCAGTTGTGCCAGGGCCAGATCCTCCCACCAGTGCACCCATAGTACTCATGGCTGGGCATTGGAGGCAGCTGGTCCAGCAGTCACCTCAGCCCACCAGTTGGCATAGCAGTTGCAGCCCAGTCACAATAGGAATGTGTATGTAGCCCACAAGGGGACACCTTGAGGGTTGGGTTCTGGTGACCAGGGTGCATTGTGATTCTGGACCCCACCAGATGTTTTCTACGTAAAGCCACTACTTTCAAGACCAGGGGATGTACTAACTTACCTAATACATAGAAACACAGAAAGTCAGACAAAATGAGGAGACAGAGGAGTCTGTTTCAAATGAAAGAGCAAGACAAAAACCTCAGAAAAAGATCTGAACCAAACAGAGACAGACTACCTGATACGATTCAAAGTAATGATCATAAAGATGATTCCTTAACTTAGGAGGAGAAACACTAGAGGAGTCAACCATAGATCAGAGGATGCAGAACAGCTCAGCAATTAGGAAGACAGGGTAGTGGAAATCATCCAAGCTGAATGGCAAAAAGAAAAAAGACTATAAAAAGGTGAGATAACGGACCTCTAGGACATTAAGCATACTAATAACTGCATTATAGGGGTTCAGAAGAAGAAGAGAGAAGGAGAAAGGGGTAGAGAACTTAGTTGAAGAAATAAGCTAAAAAATTCCCTAACCTGGGGCAGGAAACACATCCAGGAAATACAGAGAACCTCAAGATGAACCCAAAGAGGTCCACACCAAGAAGCATAATAAAATGTCAAAAATTAGAGAATTGACTAGGAAGATGGTGGTAGAGTAGGGGGAGTAAACTTGCCTTGTTCCATGGATACAACTAGATATACTCATAGCAGCATAAATAACCCATGAAATGATCTGAAGACTGGCAGAACAGACTCCATGAACTGAAGGTAGTTAAGAGGCTACATCAAAGAAGGTAGGAAGGGCAAAGGCAGGGTCTGGAAGTGAAACAGACCATGGCTGTCCATGTGGGGGAGAGAGCCAGTGGTGCATAGAAGGGTGAAAACAGACTTTCACACTGGGGAGCCCATGAATGGGAAGGATGAATCCCCATAACATTTGCCTTTGAAAGCGAGAGGGGCCAAACTTCATGAGTTCTTATAACCAGTGAGAATGCCTGGAATTTTCAAAATTGGGAGGCTCGGCTCTGGGGGAGCTCCAAGGGTGTTTGGAAGTAGAGTCCCCACCCTTAAAGTGACAGTAGGATAAACAGCCCATGCATATATAGCATAGAACCATCAGTTTGAAACCATCTGGGGGTAGATGGGAGGGAGAGTGATTTGCTCATCTCAGAGCATGGCTTGGAAAGACAGGGATCATGGGGAGACCTCTCCAGGAGCAAAGGAGCTGGCAGGCACCATTTCCC